TAAACACTAATAATGTAAATCACTGAACATCATCAAGAAGGAAAAAAGTCCATTGCCTTTGATGCAACTTGTTATAGGTTAGAAGAAAGTTAGAGAAGATAAAATGTTACAATCAGCTTTTAGTTGAGACTTTTCTTTGAAAAGAGCTTGTCAGGATGCTTTTGTGGGAAAGTTGACTGGCTTTTAAAGCGTTTTGACGAATGTGTCACTCCTTCACTGGGACGTGTGTTGGCATGGCCGGATAAAATAGTTCTGGTCAGCCTTGAAAAGGTTCATGAACTTTATATGATGTGTTTAAAGGGCATACAGGTGATCTTAAAAGAAAAGCCACCATATTTCTCTCTCGGATCCTTTTTTTATTATCGTTAAAGCACCTTTCATATGTACCTACCTTTTTCATGTGCAATATCAGGTGTCTGCCTCTGACGTTACATAGATACATGTATGTAAATAGGATTTAGTAGAAGCCTCTTGTTAAATTATTGCTTTAAGGTCTGATTTGTCAAAAGCTTTTGTGTTACATCACGTTTCCATTGAAAAGGTTAATAAAGTGGAATTATTTCAATTCTAACATGCTTTTGAGAGTTTAAACCTTTTACATTTTTCTATAATGTGTGTGTGCGTTTCTGTCCTGTAATGTTTGTTATGAAGTCAGGGCAAAATGTGCCAAGCAAACATTCTCTACTTCCTGGACAAGCTGGGAGGTGTAGACCAGACGTGACTTAAGGTAAAGTTTATTCTTTAACGCCAATTTGAACTTGTCTGTTCCGTCATGACGGCTTGTTTGTGAAGTCTCAACCCGATGCACTGGATTTCCCTTCGTCACAGCAGGACTCTGACCTGCGACGTAACGTCAGTGCTCATCTGTGACACATTTGATGAAAGTCGCAAGAATATATTTGCTGTAAATAAAGTTTAAAAGGCTTTTTTTTTTTAGTCTGTCATCATTACAGGTAGAAGTACTGTATTTTGATTCTGTAATGTATTTCAAGTAGTTGCTTCCTTTATTTTTATTTTTTTCTAAGCCATGTTTGAACAACTCCAGTTGGGATTTGAAGATAAACGATGTGTGTTTAGGATCTACCGATTTATATTTCACCACAAATTAAAAACTCGGACTAATGTTATAAAAGACGTTTATACTGAGGGGTGTATCTATCACCTTCTGATGAGTTTTCTTGGGTGGTCTTGTTATTCTACAGATGTATTTAACTTGGACGTTTTTGAGAAAGAGACAAATGGATGAGATTTTGTTTTTATTCTTATTTTTTCTTTCTTGAAATAAATCTAGTGAAAAATGTTTTTGTTGTTGTGTCTTCATGTGCACGTGCACGGCTGCAATACATTGAAGTAAACATCTCTGGGACGGACTACTCTGCTGCCCGCAGTTGTTTGTTCGTCTTCTACAGACTCTGTTTGAGTCACCTTTGCTGATCCGGTGGGTCTGTGGCACATTCTGTAAAAGCATGACTGGATTAAAATGTTCAAACCCTGGAGACAAAATCAAAAATGGTCCACTGCTACAGTAGGTCCTCTCACCTCTTTCTGTTTTCTTATTCTACTTCGTTTAGTTGGAATAAAAATAAAACCTGCCACAGCTCGTTTTATTCCGAAAGATTTAAAGATGCTGAAATTAA